ACACACACACACACACACACACACACACACACAGTTTTGCTCACAGAATGCAGAGCCAGGACTGCTGATACTGGACCCCAGTGGCGGTGGCTGTCACTCCCTGGATGGTCTCTGACAGCAGGTGAACTGTGGGTGGAAGGTCACACACAAGTTAGCCAGAGTCAACTTCATACTCAGCTTGATCCTCACACGCTCTCATTTCCTGCTACATAATTCCAGCTTCTTTTCTGTGTTGACCTCAACACCACCAGCAGTGTCTACCATCTATCATCCCTTCACAGCAGCAGGTTTTAAATCTCTGTAAGAAAAATTCTCCGATGCATCATAATTTCTACATTTATAGAGTTTTCTGTATCGGCGCATCTTAAAATAAAATCTGGCTGGGATTTTTTTAAGTCTAAGTGAATGCTGCCAGTCAAATCCACAGAATGATCAATAGAATTCTGGCGCCTAATCTGCTCTGCCAAGCCTCCCGATATGATGTCTGCATCAGACGTATCTAATGAGCTTGCCTTCTGCTTTAGACATTGACGCCAGGCTTCACTGTGTGCAAAAACCAAACTCTGACAGACTAATAAGGATGTCCATCCAACCTTAGAAAACGCTGTGCTAGTGTTCGCAGATTTAAAAACACATTTCATTATGCTGACATGTTTACGGAGAGCAAATAATTAAACACGGGCAAGTAAGGGCACTGCTGAAGCCGGCGCATCGCCTGCTAATAAGAGGAATCTCCCTCCTGACTTCACACGCTGAGAGTGATGAATTTTCTGTTTTGAAGGATATTTTTCAGCAGCCTTAACTATCCCAAGCCCCTCAATGGGATTCAGCCTGCTTTTGTCTCGCTCCAGCCTTTTCAACTCATTGGAAGAGAAAAAAATGATGGGATGGAAATGTTTTGTATCGTAAGCAGAAGGAACAATCATTTCCATATCATTCTGATTTTCCCTGCCACTGATTTCTTTCTTTTTGTGTCTTTGTCTTTCTCTCCATCACTCTTCTTTTCTCTCTCTCTGCCATGCCGTCTCATCAATAAAGTATCCTCCATTCATGCCAGAAAATGATGGGCGTCACCATGACAACAGTATCACAGTGCTCAAGGAGTGAGAGAGCCAGGAGAGGAGAATGGGTGAGGTGGGAGGGGCCCATGAGAAAGAGGGAGAAAAACAAGAGAGGAGGAGAATGCAGATAAAAAGTAAAGAGGGAAGAGAGTATGAAAAGAAGTCAGTGAAGACAGAATCACGAGGAGGAAGGAAATAGCTGGCACGTGGCATGAAAGAGTGAGGTGGGAAGACACATATACAAGGAAACAGGCAATAGAATAGGAGAATACGGATAGAATTAAACTCATTGGAACAAATGCAAGCAAGAGGAACAGAGGCAGAGACAGACTAAGGGTATGAGGGCGAAAAAAATAATTACGAAAAAATGTATGCGACAGTCTAAAAGGAAAACAAAAATGAGGTGGGATGAAAATGAGAGCCAGTGACAGAAGGAGAAAAAGGGACAGAGAAATGAGGGGAGATGCACTGGGATTCAATTCAATTAATAGCAGTAAGCCTGACAGCCATGTGATAATCAAAAACCATCCAATTTCTCTTTGACGTCAGGGATGAGGAGCGGAGGGACAGGGAGGAAGAAAGACGGAAAAATATTAACAGAACAAAAGCCAGATTAAAAGATAAAGAGAGGATGGAATAAGCATGACAGGAAGTGATGCCGGTTATAGATGAGTTGAGGAAAAAAGCAAAAAGAGACGTGCGATTGTTGTGCCAGGTCAGCTGTATGTCTAAAGAAAGAAAAAAAGCAAAAAAAGCAGGTGTAATGTAAAGCCATTGAACAGAAGCTCCCAAGTATACTTTGTACTGCGTAGTATATTATCATTAGGCTATTTAAATTCATTCTAGATCCCAGGCATAGTCTGGTCCAGATAATACCTTTTACTTTAAAAGTAAAATGCCACGTAATTGTGCAGTGATTTACTCAGAAACAAGCGCTGGGGTTTATTTTTTTGCCTCTGCAAGTGGTTAAATGCTCCCCCATCAAAGTTGCTAATATACAAGCCAGTTATATTTATGAACGCTTACAGCTTTCTCGAAAAAATTATGTAAGTACGTTTTCAGTTCATAACACTTGGGTGAAAAATACATGATTATCCTGGTTAGTTGTTGTTGTAATGGTTTAAAAAGGCTATGTGACAATAGTCATAGTACAGATCTGATTTTGTTGAGCACTCTCTATGTCGAACTGTACATTTTTATAAACTGAGTGGAGGACATATGACAGATATTACAGATCCTCCCCAGCAGCCCCGTAAATGGCCATATTCACCACATTCTGCACCTAAACATTTGTACAGAAAATGGAGCCATATCACCTTTATGAAAGACGGTTTTATTGTATAATGGCTGCACTCATTAGCTTTGGCAAAGTGTAGCTCAAAGACTGGCACCTGAGTGCACTTTGCAAAACATAAGATTTATTCAAAATGAGCCCAGATCATCCCACCCCACCCCCACCCCCCATCTCCTTTACCCACTTAGATAAATGGAAAGCAGTGTCTTCAGTTTGCTCTTATTCTATTGCAAACATCACTTTACCAACCTAATTAATTGTTAACTGATTAGCAAATAATTTACAAATGAAAATTTGGATATGCAACATTTGTGGATAAATGGCATGATTTTGTGCTGTATGTAGCTACCACATACCAACCAGCAGCAGAATTACTGTCATCACTTAAAGCGATGAGTTCATTCTATTTTAGGGAATATTTCTGTTTAATTGTTTCATCAGCTGAAACAATTACAGCCGTTTTCACAGAAAAACATATAAAAACAAAGAAACTATATATGCGCATGTGCATATGTACATATAGTTACATAAGCAAATATACATACATGTCACGTATCCTCACACACTGCATATCAAATGTGACAAACTTCAATAGTACGTGATGAAAAAAAATGGGAGGAAGGCAAGATTGGCTGGCTTTGATCTTTCTTGGTGGATTCTTAAACTGTGTTATCCACATGGTTCGGTTGGAGGGGGAGAAACAGATTGCAATGTCTGCATATCACATGAGATGCTTTCTGTCACCGAAATGCAAGAGACGAATCAATAAACAAGCTGAACCGGTCAAATAATGGAATGTTCACATTTCTCTTGGTTCCTGTGCAAGTTCACCATCAAACACGGCAGGGAAACTGCAGGGATGCGCAGCTCTTAGGAGTTTCCGTCAATGTATAAAGAGCGCCTCGAGCCCCTTTAGGCAAGGACAATCCTTGAATTATGTCAAGTCAATAATAAAGCACCAAATCCTATGTAGCATGAAAGATCGACTGGGGTCTGAACCATGGGTAGATGCGTCAGTAAACACACAGGCACACGCTCACGAACGCACACAAAGCAAGATGATTGGTTTCCTGTCAGTGTGGAGGGCACTTTGAAGGAGGTGATTAAAACATGGGAGCGCTCCACAAAGAAGTGGCAGATGAAACACTCAGTGAAGGAATCCATCACAGCCAATCACCACACAGCACACAAATGCTATGATGTCACACAGAAATGTGAGGGCCACTAGGACTGGGTCTGTGCTGACCTTGTTATCTGAAGATGTTCTCAATTCAAATCCAACTTTTTGAGTTTAAACATGGACACTGTGTAATACAGTAAGCTTATCTACTTGATTTTTCAAGAGGTATGAAATCAGACAATTTTGACACTTATGAAATCTGACTGCAATTCTTCCCTCCATAAAGCCAAGCTTGTCAATGGTCATGTCTCCCCTTTTTATTCTCATTGTTAACATCCAACTGTATTTTTGAGGAAGAGTTTGATTACCGGTAATAAATACATTTCAATCAAACTGATTGATACATTTTTGTAACACTCAAACCCCATATCAGAACCAGCACTTAAAAAACAAAACAAAAACAAGAAATCTGATAACATCAAGGGACGACTCTGCTTGACATGTTGTTGATTTAAGGGGTAGATGAAGAGGCATTGATATCTGTGACACTGGAAGGTTAGCTAGTGTCTGTAATCATTTGATGACTCAATGAATCGACCCAGTCCTGAGCGTGGAGAGGAACACAATCGGCATACTGATGGTGATTGGTACAGAAGCGAACCACTGATTGCAGCCTCACTGGAGCTGATGCTGACATTTTCATCCAATTAGCACATCTTACCGTCATCAAAGAAAACGAAACTTTGTGACTTGTCTGCATGTGGAGAGGGAGGAAGAAAACCAAAGAGGAGAGACAAGAGAGTAAGTTCAGTCACCTTCTCTGATCAACAGGCAAGCAGTTTTTTTTAGATAGAACAGTCGAGAAAATGACTTTCAAATACATACAGTGCCGATGTATACACATTGTGGTTAACAGGCATGCACATAAATATCGCAACTAAACAAAAGCTTCATTTCCTGCCCTCCTGCATATTGAAGATAATTTTCCAGAGAAAATCCCTCAATGTCTTGTCTTTGTTGGGCACAGAGATATTATCTTGATTACTGTCTACAGGCTGTTACCAAAAATTGGATATTATCACTAAGTTATGCATTCAGCTGGTCCAAAGAAACCAAAAGATGTCAATAAAGGGATAAGGATGAATGCATTTGGGCGACATTTTTCGTGCGATTAAGAGCCAGGATTTAATGGTTGCGATTCAGTATTCTAATCGTTGCTGCAGTGAAAACTAATGATCCTAATAACAACGCTAAATATGATAAATGTAAAGAAAGGAGTCATGGCTGACAAATTCAGAAACAGTGTCAAGTGAGTGTTAGGTATTAAGTCGGTAGGTGGAGAAATAAGAGAAAACCTGCAGTTTTTTATGTTAATGAAAGCATAGGGTTTGTGTTAGCATAGAGAATCCTTATCCATGTCATTCAAATTTCATCAACATAGTCCTGTCAAAGTCCAACATAGTCTTTTAGAAGAATGTAACAAGGAACAATTCCAAGGATATTGGACACACCACATTTTGCTGCCACTTGGGGCTAAATTGATTCTCAGGTTACTCTTGGTTATGCTATATGCTGCTATTGGTCCTTTAGTATAGCTACGCTGATGAAAAAAAACTTCTAGTCACCATTAAGAGAGGCAAGGTGATTTTTACACTTAATAATACACACGTATTGCTGTCACGTTTTCCTCTTTTTATAATTTTTTTCAATCAGGAAACTAACCAAAAAATCATTCCCTCTTTCTTTCACAGTAATAATTTTTAAGTTAATTTATTTCACATTTTAGTTTGATTTTACACCTTTTCTTGGTATTTCTTCAGAGATACCAAGCAAAAAAAAACCCTCACATGTCAATGACCTCGTGCATGCACGCGCATGTAAATTTTTTTTGGCAGACAGCGGGTGAGCAGCAAGTCTCAGTCTGAAAGCACAAATTTGCAAAACTGCAGACTCAGAGGTTTCTGTACATATTTACTAAACTATGAATACATAATGAATGCATGGCTACAAATCCAAAAGGGTTTTGATAGCATTTAAACTGACGGTAAAACTATTTTTAATGAAAGTTCTGATCATCTTAAATTTAATGGTGGCAATACATCTCACAAATGTTTTACCAGAGTAATTAAAAGCTGCAAAAGTAAGTAGTACTAAAAAGAGCTACGTGACCCAAATAACTAAGTTGATCGGCAACACAGTAACATTAACACAATGTAACTACCCAAACTTAGCCAGCAAAGACTTGAGAAAAATGGCTTGTGTCATCTTCAGATATACAAAAATACAGCTCCTTTCCACTTAATTTGAAAACATACACTGAAAGAAACTGAATTACAGGGCAAAATGTACAGGGTCAAATGACTGATCAAAGGTGACAGTAATTGAGGCCAGAAATATTGTATCTGTCATCCCAAACAGGGTTCACAGTCATTAGCGCACACAGTGCAGGGAGCACTAACTAAGAGCATCATGAAGGAAGAGAGGATAATAATATCCAACAAGACAACAGCATTTAAAATGGACAATGCCATAAGCTATTCCATGGTTTAAGTACTGTCGCATGACCTGTCATTTTCAGCATCCAAAGCACATAGAGCGTGATGTTTTTTTCTCCTTGACTGTAGTTTAAGTGTATTTCACATAAGGGGAAGGAAATGTATTATCCATGAGTTGCATCATCATTATCAGAAGCAGCCTAGGTTGTTATTTCTCTACACAATGTGTGGACTAATCTCCAATACTGAATCCCAAGACAAAAGTGAACCCAGAAAAAAAAAGAAAACAGCACGTTGGCCTTGAAATACCAACTTCTCTGTACCAGTTGGAGCAGGACTAATTATCTCTGTAGGCTTTCATCTTTTTTTCATTTCGGTAATTTTTCTCTTCTCTCAGTGCCTGTTTTAATCTCTGACTGTTCTCTTTATCTCACAGCTGTACAGTATTACACTGCAAATGAGCGGGTCCCTTCGCCAGCTGTAATACTCCACTGTGGCAGAGTGAACCGTAGATATGGCAGAAATTAATACCTGAAGAGATAGCTCATGTCGATAACATACTCGAGTGTAATATGTATTCCCCCAGGAACGGTCTTTGTTCCTTCCCCAGAGATCTTTTCCCCCTTTAGCACTGACACGAGTGTTTCAAGTTTGAATTTGGGGACCAAAACCAGCAACATGGAAATTCTGAGTGTGACCGAGGGGAAGAGATCGGAAAACAGGATACTTAAGAGCAGAATTTCAAAATGAGAAAGGCTTCCTTATTGAATAATTACTGAGACCAAATTAAATTAAATATCACTGAAGTCCTCAGACTACTTGGAAAACAGATGCTGTGATGCATATTTAAGGGTTTATGCAAATGTATTCATCTGTTTTTGTTTTTTTCCCCCCACATATCCTGTAAATACAGTTCACTGGCCTGCGTTGCTCTTTTGCCTGTTTCTACATGTAAATCTCAGCCATCTCAATTTGGTGCACACTCGCACTGTTGTAATCAAATAATGTAAAGAGCAATGATATACTGGGATTATCAATTTTTTCTGCTAATGCAGTTCACCGGAAATGAGTTGCGTCAGTTGCTTTTTAATGTAAAACTGTTTTTCCTTTTTGGGACAAAGGAATGTACAACCATCAATCCACACGTTTCACACTGCGTGAGCTAAAATGAACTCAACTTTTGCAGTGCTTCTAAGATTTGAAATATGTTTTAATACAAAAGCAACATTGTTACATCACAATAAGTATCTCTAACTTAGAGCTTCTACTTGTCTAATTTTTTTAATCATTTTTTTTTATGACGATGGTCTTCAAAAAAGACACAAATGCACAGGAGGAAAAAAAACGAGGAAAAAAAAACAGAGGTTCCTTTGCTTCCTTGTGGGCTATTTTGGGAGAGAACAGTCAAGTAGCAGCTGCCAACACAGCTTGAGAGTCTCAGAGAGCCATTTGAAAACGATGTGAGTGATCGATGACAGAAGTCAATTATCACCTTGCGGATCTGTCAGGGGCGACTGTGCGGGGTGAGCTTCACACACCAGCCACCTCTGACTAACCATAAACAACTGCGGGCACCAGCCCAGGCAGACAGGATAACACCGCGCACAGAGTACATTACAGGCAGATCTTACACTGCCATTACCTTCACATGCTCCTAAGGTGTTAGGAAATAACCAGCTAATGATGTGTTTTTTTTCTGTACCCACACTGCTGTGCATTTGAAGCACATAATTGGAGACAGGTAACCTCACTGCCAGGAAATATGAAGTTCCTTAATTCTATGGAATTAAGCCAAAGATTTCCTCTCTGTGGATAGAAAGGCATCAACTATGGCCAGAGACAGTTAGGTAACAGGGATGATTTCTCTTGCTCTGCTGGACTGAGGAGATGCACCTTAGCCTTGGCTTTATTCCTCAGCCGACAGAACACGTGCTTTGAGGATTGAACTACTGTGACTGGGGAAGAAGTCAAATTGGCACCAAACTCAGAGAAACTAAATAATGTTCAACATATTAATCACAAAAGTAAGTTATCTTCTTAAATGTGGTTCATTCTTATTCCATTCATATTAAACCCAACAGTTAGGCTGATTTAAAAAAAAAATGTTTTAGTCAAGACAATTAATGGCCTGCTGTAAATGGCACTGGGGAGAAACATCTCAACAACTATTACAATCAGCTAACAAAAATTGTCTGCAATGTGTGGAAGTCACATCAATTCAAAATTAAACATGGCATGGCTGTGTTATGTGATCAAAAAAGCACAAAAGAAGAATTTGGAAGCCTAAATGTGTGCAGTTATCATTTTAGGAATAAAAAGGGACTCTAATCAGCCGGATGTGACATTTTCTTTCAGGTAACGCTGACCAGTCAGATAGTTAAGGTCAACTACTAGTTCCTGGCCTTGATCTAATTGTAGGGAGACATAGTTAGTTCAAGATGCCCATCTCACAGCATTTTGTATGTCCTTGGCTTTCGATAACATGTATTTTCCACATACCGGTGTTTAAGTGCATGTAAATATAGTCCTTGCTTACCGTTGACCTCCTGAGCGCCCGCATCTGTGAAAAGCATGCTCATCACCTCTTCAAAGTTGCAGCCAGGCTCAGATAAGTTGCTGTCTTGGCCCACATGGTGCAACATTCTCTTGAGGACATCATCCAGAGAGGCGGCTGTCTCGTCCAACAGAATGCTAGCTCTTGCAAGGAAGCCATCCAGGTCCCGGTGAGCCCGCACCTCTTCTTCAAAGTCCATCAGCTTTACATACTGTAGAGAAGATTGGACTGTTTGAAAAATTTTCAAATTTGATATTTCAAGCTTGCTAAAGAACCAGTCCTTTCATCCTCAGAGAGGGACTTTTTCATGGAAATACAGAGCAAACTATTGTATTAACATTTCACAATAGAATCAAACCAAAAGTGCATGTTATTGTTCAATTTCCAACGTTGCAAAGAGGAATGCTGATTTCCTCAATCCTGATAAATTGGATCTTTGTCTTCTTTAGATCCAAAGTATGAGGCTAAGGATGTGCTACACTTGAGAATTTTCATTTGATTAGAACCAACTGCTGTGATTGTTCTGTCTGTGAAAGCTGTGAACAGCTGGCGAAAACCAAACAAGTGTATCAAGTCAGCTTGAAAACGTGGGTCATGGTTCACTTCTCTCGATTCCATTTAAATATGAGTTTAGTCTGGTCCAAACAGCAAAAAGCCCAGTTGTTGGATCCACTCAGGCTACATGTGAGCACCACTCAAACTACTAAAGCTTCTATTACTTTGTATCATTCTGATGATCAGGCAAAACCTTTTTTATAGATTTGCTAATAAGTTTAATGAAAGGAAATTTATTTGGTGCAAACGTGAGCGCAACCCAATTTACTCCAGAATTATAACTTGTCATCATGTAGCATAGATTGCTCTAACAGTTTATGAGCAAATCCACAACCCACTGTTGGAGTAAGATCATTTGCAGACCTAAGTATCATAACTGAGCAAAACTCTTTAGAGATATCATATTTTTCATGGAAAAGTATGCAATAAAAATGACTAATTGTTTAATATTGATGGTAGCTTAAGCTTAATAAATGTCGTGCGTGGATTTATAAGGAGATTGCTATGCTGATCATGACAAATCAGGGTGATTTTACAAACCACATTTGTAAAAATCCATTTAGTTTGCTAGAGAACCGAAGGGAATATCTATTGGTGGGCTGGATTTTTGCCAGGGTTTGATCTATTAAGGAGACCAGTGTCTCTGTAGTGTCTTTGTTTCTAAAAATCCCCTCATGTTTACAGTTCTGTGTTCTAAATATTGCATTGAGAAAGTAATGGCTGCTACAATTCAACCTGAAAATGTTGCCATACTTTCCATATTACAGCTTTTGATACTCTCAGTGGTGACTGAGAGTCACCTTTAAACAGACGAATGGGCAGAGGGTTGAACACAGCTCGATTAAGAGCCCAGACGCTCACCAGTCTTCAATTTCATCGATTTCATGACTGACAGAAATTCTGAAGATGAGTGGATTCCCTGCTGCTCTTTTTAAAATTAGATAAGAACCAAAAACAGAGTCCTCATCCAAAGGCTTTCAGCTATTTCAGCAAATAGCTGAAATGTGATGTTGGTTACACGTACAAATGCACAAAAAACTGGGTCTGGGTGTTGGTTAAGAATAAAATATGTTCTTTTACTTGTTTAATTGTGCTTGTTTTGCGTTTTTTTTCTTCTTATATGAATATCTCCTGTCGCTGCAGTCTACAGATTAAGTTTGTTCCAAGTGCTTTCCTCTTTCAAATTCAAGTCATCCCTATACGTATGCATTTGTTCCTATTAATTGAACAGATGCACTCCACAGCTTTGACGAGTAACTGCGGATGCGACCATGCAAATGTGGTATTTCAGAAAAAAACAGAAGGCCAGTGCAAACCAACAGAAGTGTTGTACAGAACGGGGAGATTAGACAGAGGAACCAGAAAAGCCTTTTGGCAAGAACGAAGCCGGAACTGAAATCATTGACAGGCTTGTTGTGGGGAAGACTCTTGACAGCTTTGTTTACCAGATTAAGCTCATTTGCTTTGAACATCTTGACCTACGAGACTGAGATAGGTCCAGAGCTGGGAATACAAGGAAATAATTGACATGTTACATACCCAGATATGGCTGCTATTAGGCACAATCAAGAACAAAAACAATTGATGGCTTAAAAATTCTCCTGGTTTATTGTGCTGCTTGCTAAGAAATTTAACAATTATTTTGAATTTAGTATTTGTTTTTACATCAAACTAAGAAAAACAGGCCCTATCGTTTTTTTATGCGTAAAACACATGAAAATAATTCTAAAACAAATCTCCAGCAGCTTTGCCGGGGAAGCAAATAACTATTGTGTAGATGATAAAAGTGAGACAGTCTTCACTTCTGCTTCAAACATACCTCATCAGCTATCAAGGAAATTAAACTAATTTTCAGTTGCTTTATAAATCTACTGTCTTTTGTTTGGCTCCATAATGGAGCACGTGACATTTAAAGAAATCAATTGCTAATTTGATGTTATGCAATAAATACTTTTTCTGGATCCAGTACAGTGTTAGTTTCTATACAAAACCACACTGGACTTTGAGATAACTACAACAATTTCTGTTTTTTTTATTTTTTTTCAAGCTTTCTAGAAAAAAAGTTTTTACTTAAAGGGTACTTGTGGGATTTCTTTGTAGAACATAAACAATGAACTTACCCTTCTTGATGTGTTCAGTAACACACAACCGGAGTCATCAGCATCTAAAGGCAAGAAAGAGGCTTTCATTAGGAAAATAAAGATATGTAAATGTATTTTCTCAAACATGCATAACATGTGGAAGCAGAGAATTGAGCTTTCTGCCTCTCATAGGGCCAAGAATTCAGTAGTCACAGAAAAGTTGTCAAGAATGCATAGCAGGGAAAATTAAGATAAGGTTTATGTCAATTTTTCGATATGCCTATCTTGCAAATGTAACAAAGATTAAAAAAATTATGTTTGCCAAGAATCGTGGGGAATGTTCAGTCATCAGTGATACTGACTGTCTCTGCATGGGATATCGTCAGTTAAGCAAAAAACAACTAAACAAAACATGACTCCAGTCATTCATGGTGCTTTCAGACGGTCTCAATAAAGCACAATTTCAATTTTAGGAAGTTTGTCAACTCACTTTCATTCTTTTTTCTTATACATCTACATCAAAACAATTCATACGTCAAAAATGTAATTCACTTTTAGTGATATAATACATTGTTATTGTATTGTAGTAAAATAAACAGACTTGAGTTGAATTTAACTGAACAGGGTTGAATTGGTCAAATTAAAAATGAATCAAGTTGCAGCAAAGATCTTTAACCCATCATTTTTTAGTATCAGAGTTAAGAAAGGTAACAACTAAATATGCGAGATGTGATAAAAATAGACCTTCTAGTTCATGGAGGGAAAACTTTCACTGTGAAACTCTGGTGTTGAGGTTGAATATGTCAAATTTAAGAAGTGAGCTGAAAGAGTTCACAGAAGATTCTGGGATCCTATAAAAGTACAATCTAAACATTTTGAGACTAAATAAAGAACTAGTCTTGAGGAAAAGCATTCTATTGTTGTGTTCATGGATGATGTTTGAGTGGTTTCAGAAGTAATACCACCCGTTCCTTTTATGTTTTTTTTTCGAGGAGACAAATCCCATCTCAACTGCACCTATGCTCCCAGCTAAGCCCACTCACACATACACATTTGCAGAGAGCATGTGGGGGCTGGACTGAAACAGCACTGACTCTTTGCTTAATCTCCAGTAAAGAGATGACGGAAAATGAGGGTGAGCGAGAGATGGAGAATAACAAGACCTGAAAGCCGGCTTGAGCCATGTGATTCCTAAAACACCTCGGTGTATCCAATAAGTTTAACTTCACCAGCTTTTGTTGAAGTTAAAGTCTTATGCAAATGTGGTCACTATAATGACCTGTATTTGCATTTAAAAGCAGTTTGAGCAAGCCGAGCATTTTCTAATGATGGTAAAAATTGGGAAATGACAACTAGCGACCATTCAGCCCATAAAAAGGAAAGTAGCCCGAGACCTTTTTTCTAACACCGATGAGTGTCAAGAGGCACATCTCTAAATGCTCTCATTGAAGAGGGATTGGACATTCTGTGCTGATAAGGCTTTTAATACACACGTCTGTGGAGCAGAGGCAAGTGCTCTAAAAAATGACAAAGGTTTGGATTTTCCCAGCACTGGAAAAAAAAAAAAAAGAAAAAAAAAGAAAAGAAAAAAAAGAAAAAGGGATAAAGCCTTTTATGTCAGAAAACAATACTGACACAAACTGAGGGAATGAGGTTTTCAACTCTCTTTAGTCCCTTAACTAGCAAATTGTCAGCAGCCCACTGACTCTCATAAAACAGCCCGCCACCTCCGTTACATAACCGCTTACGGTGGGGAGGGGGCATTACTAGGTTACCATGGGCTTTCCTCCTCTGCGTCACATGATAATGTCTGGGCTCCGTGTGGAAATCAATCAATGTGTAACTCCTCCCTAAAGCAATGAAAAAGCAAGAAAACTCCTTTTTTGACAGGCCAATAAGCCTTAGGAAAGCCCAAGGATATCATAATATCAATAATCCAGTTAGAAGTGAAAACGTTTTGAGTGTGAGTCTGCAGAAAAGGATGGGGGATTTGATCGTCACACCAAACACCGTGCCATTGTAACACTGCAGGCAGGAAATGGGGGGGGGGAGCCCCTACCCCTGCCTTTATGCGATGAGACTAAGACAGGGGGCACGTGCAGTGTGCCGTGGATTTTGCTCATCAAAGCCTCACAATCAAAAAGCACACGGCTGGGCTGATCCCTACCCACAGGGGGGGAGGGTGCTCCAGCTCTAATTGCCGTCAGGCTGCAGCCGTAAGGAGATATCCATATATTCATAAAAGATTACCTCATCCCCAATGATCACCTTCTAATGGTCTCTGTATGTCTGAATGTACTGAGAGGCTTAAAGTAATCCCTGAGAATTTCAGGGTTTAGGGATCAGAGAGAGGAAGTGTTCAAATATGACACGGGCTTGTTTTCCTTATTTGATCAATGTGGCACTTAAACTCTTCAGTCACAACGGTTTGTAATCTCACAGAGGAGGGTTGTATCATTTTAATAATTAAGAGGTACAGCACGGTAAAAGAGGATTGACACACTTCATGCACGACCTTTCAATAATCCTAGGTGACCTTAGAATGGGTTTGGGCAGTGAGGTTCAACAGTGTGCGCATTTAACTTCTTGAACTACGATAAGCTTGTAAAGACAAAATGCTAGCTTTTTAGCATTCTAATGTGCCAAAAAGCTATCGGGGTTTCAATATCTTGTTCAATATGTTGTATGTTTTCAGATCGAAATCACAACAAAGCTGACGCTAAGATATATATATTTTTTCTAATTGAAAAGCCTTTTTTCCCATTGCATTTCACAATGAAGTGACAACTTCAGCGACATGCCAACCCCAACAGCCATCAAAACAAAAATACCAACATTTAAGCAACTCTTTTTGGTAATAAACTGAATTCAGTTTTGTAAAGATGTAAGGAAATGATAATGTCCAGTGGGGAACGCCGTGTGCAAAGCAACACGGACGCAATTGGACATATTTGTCAAAGCCTTGTGCAACATTGTAGAAGAAGAGGACTGAAATATGATCTGGATAGTTTTTTTTGTTTGTAGCTTTTTTGTTAACTTAGACTTTCTGAGAGATACTGGAGACATGCAGTAGTTATGACAGTGATAAATCCAGAGAGGATGCATCAAACAAATCAAGTAACATCTTTGTGTGCCTGGAAATATCTTTAGAAAAACCTGTAAAATATTAATTTCCTGTAGAAGTATGACTGGGACTTGTTAAGGAATCAGGATGTAGTCTGATCCAACTAGTAGCTGACAAGTGTGGTCATCTGTCAGCGTCTTTTAAAGAATATAAGCCTGACTCACACGATACTTGTATCTAACAAGCTCTACTCTGACCTCAAAGAAAAGTTAAATCCCCATGTTCTCAGAGTTACAGATGTCCGTCCTTCCACATAACTTTTCCATTTCAGCATTCAGCAAACCGATTGAACTGAAATGGAACTGAGCCCTGAGCTGGCAGAAATATGACCATTACATTGTATCAACCTCTAGAGAGCTTTGACAGCTTCATGACAAATATCACTGAACACAGAAGAATGGACAGCATGATATACAAGTAGAAGAAAATAAACAAGAGGCATAACGTCTTACCAGTTTACAGATCTTTAAGTAAGCTCTAACTCAGTTATCTTCAGCATTTATATAGACAGCAAGCAGCTGTTTTTCTCTAAATATTGGGTAGAATTGATTAATTTGCTCCTGCATGATGAGGTTAAAATTCCCAAACATTTGGAAGCATTTGGAGATGCAGTTAGTTGTTTTTTAAGAAAACTTAAACCTTAAGAAATGTATATAGCTGTGTGTATGTATGTATATGTGTGTATATAAATATATATATATATACACATACACGTTTCTGTTGACGCTCCAGAGAAAACACATCAGTGTTTTTTAACATTCATTTTAATATGCTTACCAAAATTTGGTCTCACAAGGACCGAACTTTGACCTCAGATGATTTTTTTTTAGTTAATTCAATTAACTTGGCTTTCTTTGAACCACGTTAAACAGACCAATCTGGAATGTACTCTTCTTACAGCAGAAATGAGCCACAATTTAACTCGTATATCCCTAATGTTGACACAAAGAATCACTTTAAAATGGATGTATTTGTTGAAGGTAATGGGCACAATGACAAGTTTCTCTGTGATTTAATCTCTGTCTGTCAGCATTAAGAAATATTCACATCACGAAGTAGAAAGTGCTACAAAAACAGTAACATGGAAAAATGCCAACTTGTTTGCCAAGCTCAAACAAAGAAAGCTGCAAAATATAAGCTTCCACTGAAATAAACTTCGATAAACCTGTAGATAACTGCATAACAAGATTATTATTATCACAACTGGAGATTGACCATAAACATGGACTCTGTTGATAATAATTATGAAAGAAAGCTGTTTTTGTCTTGATTTCACTGAACAATCCATACATCATATTTTGTTTTTCTAGATTGATGTGTAATCCATTACATCCATCTCAATGATAGACAACAAGAAATGCTTCAGTACTCTCTTTTAGAGGAAATAGAAAATTGACCAGATTTATAATATCAAAAGAATTGGAGATCATTGAGAAGATATGGTTAGGTGGTGACTGGTTCCACAAGTGCTCTATTGGTACAAAGTAAAAAAAATAAATAAAAAAAAATCAATTTTTCACTGATTCTGGAGTACTTTTTTAAACAAAAACAGCACAGGGCTGAGGGGGTTAAGATGTCATCTTTGGAGTTTTGAAAAAACAGCATGGAGATTGCCCTTGTGGCAGGCTCAGAAAGCCTAAGAAGCAAATTGTGACACTGTGCATTGGAAGAATTTTCCAACTCCATTTTAGCGATGACATTCTTCATTGTTGTTTTCTCCTCCTAACTCGCTCTCAGCTTGCACCACCCCACCTCTCTTGTCAGATGCGTTAAGTGTTACTATGTAAGGAAAATCAGACAAAGTGACATGGTCACCTGTCACTTTTAAAGGGACGGGGCATTACTCTCCCTCTTGTCTCGTCTCCGGGTACTGCACCTGCGACTGTTACCATGGCAACAGCAACCTGTTGACCTACGAAGTTCTGGTTTTGGGGTCAAAATCATCTGCACCTGCAGCCGAAGAGCTGTCTGTCAACACCTGATATCCAGCCCCGGGTGGACTACCCTACCAGATTTGGATGCGTTGGGGCTGGAGACGATCCAGGCAGTCATTGGATGAGAGACAGAGTAAACAAGATACAGACTGCCAATCCAGACCCACCAGTGATCTCAAACACAAACTATGCATGTTCCCACTCAGCCAATTTGGAATCACCAATTTCCTGCAAAGAAAGTCCGCAGATGAGATTGAAGCAGGGAACTTTCTCACCGTGAAGCTACTGTGCTAATAACCATCCTCTTTTAACAACACCGGGGTTGTTAAGAAATATGGCAGGCGTGGGAGGGATGGCTGCGATCAATAGTGAATGATTAAAAAACAAAATAAGCCATCCCCACAGTATGAGTATAAGTCTTTATAACTACCAGAAATTACAAACAAGGTGAACTTACTGCGTGTCGACTCTGTTTGATATAAACACCAACACGTGAACACACGCAACCATTTTATCCCTGAGATTTAACTGAATGCTGAAAACTAAACAACAGTACAATTACTATGCCGCAGATGAGAAAAAAAATTCAAGGAATACCAAATTCCTCTTATTGGGCATGGTTTGTGGCATGCAATGTGGCATCATCACAATGATTTTTTTTCTTAACTCTACATTCTGCTGTAACATTGTGAATGTCCTTACTGTTGGACTAATAAAGGACTATCTTATATTCATACATCGTATTAGTGTGTGTGACTGGTGTGGACATCTCAGTTGTTTTGTCTGACTGTAATTCCTTTAATTTCATCAGGTATTGTTCTTTCTTTACCTACCACCATGTCTCCACCGTTCATTTCTCTTAAGACCAAATTTGACCTCAGTTTCTTGCTGTCAGTAAAATCCTTTCCTCACCTTATGTTCTCCTTCCCTCCCTATTCACATGGTACAGTCTAACCTCTGATACTCCACTGACTCTGTCTCTCTCTCTCAGAGTTCTGACCTGGCCCGGGGCTGATCTGGTTGTCATAAAGGTGAATATCATCTCCGCAGGCGATTGGCGAGTCCTGTCCCTCCTCTCGGCCCTCGCTGCCCTCCTCTTGCTCCGCCTCCCGCTGCTCTGGGGACACAACAGCACAGGGTCACCTAATGAACCTCGTTGGCTATCATGCCAAGCATGTCCAGAAAAAAACAACACAGCATATCACAAAAAAAAATCAAATTTCTGAAAAACATGACAAAGGTACAAAATACAAATACCAATATTTCATTCACTATACATTGTATATTAAATGAAAATATCCCCCAAAAAAGAATTGGTTCATCTTGGAAAAAGTTTTTGTCCCTCTCCGTTGTCTGGAGAATGATTTCCAAACCAAATACATTTTTTTAACTCATCTGACTACAGACCAAATGTCTGCTTTGCCCTTGCTTTGCCATTTGGTAACATTCTGCGTATGACAGAGCCTTAGCATGCCTTTGTGGATGAGACTGTAAAACTTATTATTCAAGGATTTCTGCAAATATCCCAGAGCCCATGCAGTGATTTCCATGATAGATAAGATCGTGTGCGTTTTTAATGCCAGGCCTGGCAGAGGGCCCTGGAGCTCACAGGCATCAAGTACTGACTTCCAGCCAGATCTCCGAAAATCACATGTGGATGTTGTTATGTACTGGAGATGAAGGGAGTCTTCGTAAATGCACAATGAGGAGTATTATTCCAAAATGTATCTACAATTAACTTATGAAGCAGCTTTTTCTCTTATACTAATCTAAACTTCTAGAAAACTCTACTTTTAGGGTGCTTTTAAATTCAATGATGTTACTGATCTGCAGAAGGGCTAAAGCTGGATCAATGATCATTTGAGTTATTTAATTTTCTTTAGAAAAGTTCTTAGAAAAACTAATTTTCTAGCAAATGGAAAATTAAGCCGGTTATCAACAAATTTAAATCAATAGAGATAAATTGGTTATGCATATACAAGTAAATAAAAAACATTACAAAGATTAGCTCAGAAGGCCAAAGTTGTTGTTTTTTCAAATATGAGAATAGTGGCAAATAGTATGGTCGGGATTCATTTCAACGTGTTTCACTGTGTCTGTGTCCGTTTCTGACTACTTCCTATTGTGTGAATTAATTGATGGTGTGGGAAACACTTTACCTCTGAAAATCACAGTTTAGGCTGCCATGCTCATTAAACACTCAGTCAACAAATTACATGAAAACGTGTCAAATTACTCGTGACACACTTCCAAGTTGTCTGTTATGCTGACAGAGTTCTCATGTGTTTTTTCCACGGTGATTCCTTCAGAATGCCCCCCCCCTCCCCCCTCCCTCACTAGGTTTTCAATTTCTGAAAATATCCACTTTAGGGTTTACTTTTGACAATGTATCTTTTTTTAATCAATGAACAACATTTTCTGTCAAAATATCCACTTAATGCATTTGTGGGATTATCAAACATGATTTAACTGAAATAAATCAGGTATTGTAACACACAGGTGGCAAAAAAACAGGAACTACATAAAAAATATCACAAACTCTTATAGAATATTATGGAAATGAAGGTGTAAGACATGTCTAACGGACCCAATTTAAATAGGAAAACAGAGGGTTTATTTTTCAGGTATTTGTGTGGTTGAGAGTAGCAGAGGTCCCAGCCAGCAGCATATTGGTATGAGTCATCTCCCTGACACAGCAGACCCTTAAATTGAATCCTACAGTAACCATTGGGTTCCCAAATATCATCGAGCCATTGGCACGATGCGACGAGAGCAATATCGCTTTCTTGTGCTCTTTATCTGCTGACCTTATCTCTGAGGACGCCCCAATTTCGGTTCATTCAGTTTGTCTTCCATGTGGATCGTCCCTCTGCGCTTGACATTTTTTGAACCGCTCGGCGTCGCCGTCTTGCCTGCATTCCTGCGTGCCTCAGACTTACCGGCTGGGCTCTGACTTTCAAATCACCTTGGCGGAGGAGAGCCGTAGCGGCGCAACATGAGGACCCACACGATGGTCTTGTTTAAAATTCAGTCAAATCCTTTCATCACTTTATTAGGATCTCTTTGCACTAAAACGGTCCTTTACCATCCTTTTTTTTGGTGCCACTTGAAATAAGCTACCCTCAATTTAAACAGAGTCCGGGGCTGGTTGTGTGGAAAATCCCACTCCATTTTTCACAACATGATTAAAAAATGAATTAGTTATTCAGTTCCAAATGCAGACGAGCGGCGCGCATGAAGCCAAGCGCCCCTTCATAACTGTGACCAGTGAATACAAGCATGCAATATTCAGAAGTGGGATGAGGAACGTTTGATATGAAAACATTGAATGATTGATGTGCATCCTTCAAACGGAGTGCAGTGTTCTGCAGCTGCCTTTTGAGGTGTGATGGGAGCCGTGACATACCCAAACGGCACAAAACTAGCACTTGCGTAAATCATTAGAAAGTTTCCTAATCGGGAGCTTTCCGTTATGAGAAAAGGCATACAGTGGCTATGTGTCGGTGACAAATCAGCCTCTGGCACCATTCTAAGGCAAATAAAAATGGACCGGTTACTAGAATGCATTTCAGTAAATATTTTTTTCCCCCTCTTACTAACCAGTTTCACCTTTTGCTCAAAATGAGCATTCACACAACATCCAGCTTCCAGGGTAACCTTTACTAGAGAACCATTATGATGACAATGTGGCATAATGCTTACATGACAACAATAATGTAATTGCATTTATATTTTGATAAAAGGCAGCCTAATAAAGACAGCTATGCTCCACCGCAGCAGGGGGCCTTTCGGTGTGTCTGTTGAGAGAATTGGCGTATTACAGGAGGGGAATAATTGGCTGAGGGAGACAGGGAGATCCAGTGTAAGTATATTCCATCCCGGCTGCCTCTGCTGCACATACTAATTGGGAACCTCTCCTTAGCTTGAAGGTAATGAAACTACCGTTATCATAACAGAAGGAGCAAAGTTCATTATTTATATATAAATGCAGCGGAGTGTGAGAGCTGGGAGGGCTTTTTGTGTGTGTGTCGGTGCTGCCACTTCAATCTCCAAGCACATCTTTTATGGATATACAGTAAAATGCACTTTACAGGTAGAAAGATGCCTCTGTAACAGATCTTTTCTCTTATTTTCCCTTAAAAAGATTTTTTTTTTTTCATGGAAAACACTTATTTCCCCTAGTGGTCTCTCAGACTCACCCATTTCTTGAAAGAAGTATCCATTCTTGGACATTCCAGACGGAGGCGCCTCTGCAAGAGCAAAGCAGACACGGAAAGGAATCAGAGGAGGGGTTGCTGACAGGGAACATTGTTTATTATTACAATCGAACAATACTGGTATGATAAAATAATACAAATACAAAATGGCTCCATCAACACACACTAGGGCCAGCGCAAATAAAATATCTAATCTACTCATAATCACAAACTGATCATTCTTGACTTTGAGCCAAAAATGCTTGCCACCTAACATCCATTAGGAGACAGAAAGCTGCATGCAGGAGTTATCCATCCCACTCACGTAAGTACATGACAGTCTATATATTTCATCTTCTTAAGAAACTGTGTGTGGTATGTGGGTTGCCTGCGGATCCAAAAGGCAAACAAGAATATATCTCATTCCTCTACAATGTAGAGCTGCATTTTATTTCCTTTTCTTTATTTTGTTCCAGAACAACAGAAAAACACATTAGCGTAACACACTCCCACGGTGGTTGCTGTTCTCACAAAAGCACACTCTGTAGATTATGTCGGCGCCGTCGTCCTTAAACAGCCACGCTGCCACAGAGATAAAGACTATGGTAAGTGTGTAAGGTGTTACACGTAATTGTTTTGCAGTTAAAACAAATGGTGATTATTTAATTTTGAGTGGCAACCAGTTGAATTAGTTATGTCAGTTCCAAAAACCAGAGAAACGCTGTTACACTGGTTTAACAGAAATGCAGCAGAATTTTCTTTAAAGTTAGACCACAAAGATATAAAAAACATATATCTTATATTAACACATACTTGTTAAACCAAGTGGATAAAAACTATCCATATATAATACAGCTTTATCCAAGTATGTACAACACCTGTTTAATTAGATATGCAAATGAGGCCCCATCTAAACATATATCACAGTGTAGGTTATCAATAAGACAAGGTTAATTTATCAGTTTATTAACTAGTAATTAACTGTTTCCAATCAAACTGGTTGGAGTATTATGGTTGGACTAATTCTAATTCGGATGGGGGGTTTTTTCCCCCAAAGCATTTATCTAAAAACAACCACTGGTCTCATTATAGAGCATTAGAATAATTAAGGCTCCTGCCAATATTTAACAATTGATAAAATTGAAAAATGACTCTTATATGCCATTAAAATGTAAGGACTTTTTTAAATGGTGTTATGTTCAGATTTCTGTTGTGGTCTACTTCGACATGCCATTCATCAGACATGTCCCACCTTAATGTATCGTACTAATACATTTCCCTAAGTAATCAGATGACATTGATCTGGATCTCATATCTGAAGACAGCAGAGACCGATAAAGTACAGTAATCATGGTCTGGGGGACATGGTTGCCTTATTGCTCATTAAAATTCAAAAGACGGACCTGGAAATATTTTATGGACTGAAAATTCTGACCTGGTCACCTGTGGTTTAATTATGCTAATAAAGCTCGCCTGATGCACATTTACATTTCACTTTACAAGCCAGTTTGAACACATACCGCAGGTTGATATCCAGGTGATAAAAGCCTCATGCCGGCAGAAGACAAAAATTAAACCAGGATTCTCATTCCTGAAAGGCACCCTCAATCAGTTTGATAAGTTATCATTTCTGAAAATCTTTATTTGACATGGACTGAGATGTTCTCAAACGGAAATCTGGACTACATGGATCATCCTAATGTGGCAGTTTTTTAGTTTGGGAGGTGTACAAGTGATCTCTGCATAATGTGGCAGGAAACAGCAGTCAAAATGAAGGTGTGAGGCATTAATTGCCAGATCTAAGGTTGTTTGGCTTGGCTTTCTTGATGGTCAGACCACATCCAATATATGTCATAGTTCACTGCAGGAGTGACAGACCCAAACTGCATGAGTTGATTTGTTTTTCCACCCCCTATTATGTCTGTCTACAGGAAGCTTGGAATTACTTTAACCTTCTCAATCTAAAATCTGTGTGATCACCTCTGCTAATATTCTTTTTTTACTATCTTCATCTTTAGACATATCTGATTATATGTCACTATGTATTTATTTTGTTACAGTCATTTTTCTGAGACCAAGCAAAACTTTGTCTTTTGATAAGTCCTAAACTGCAAATAACAGGAAAGAGCAAGCACAAAGGGGATGACTGTATGGCTCGTACATGCAGAAAATATTAACAATATTAGAAAACATGTTACATATAATGCACTCACACTAATACAGTCCATGATAATCCATTGAGCTTTAGTTTCAGGCAAGCAATCGTTTTATAACAGTAATATGAGGCACTTCTCAAAATGGTAGATATCTCATTTCGGAATTAAACCTATAATCTGGAGGAGCACACGACTACGAAAGCACGGGAGGAAATTTTGAGTACAACCTTTAGGAGTGTTTGTCACGCGGCCGCGTGGATGTGTGCAGCATGTGGATGGCACAGAATAGCAAGGCAGACACAGAGCGGGGATACTTTGAAGGTTACTGAGACATTGTGGTGCTCGTGCCTACAGAAAAGAGTTATGGGTGAGGGGGTTCCGGACTTAATTTCGGGTTTTTTCTTGAGCATTATGTCAATGTATTTACACACCTATCCCAAAACCAGGAATCGACAGCGCTGCTATGGGCTATTCTTCATCTGACAGCATTGTTGAGAGCGCCAGTCAGATTTTCAAAATATAACCAAGTACATAAGGATTTGTAAAAATGGCTGTGTTGGTACTGACAGCTCCAATTGTCAACACATTTTTCTGTAACTCTATGCTATGCTGCTGTTGGCAGCGTTCTCGGCTTTCTCAATATAACTAGCTGTGCTTCTCATGGGTTCAGAAACATTCCACTACTCCACAAACGCAGGTCGATCAAATCACAGCTGATGGATTCAACGTTTTTCACAGCAGAAAATGAGCACAATGGACGTGACGGAGGACACAGCATTGAGTCCTGACAGTCGAGATTATTTCAAGTTGAGGCTGTCCAACACTCCAAACGTTTTCAAGCAAACAATACATTTTCCTTCTTTTCCTTACACTTATAAACACCAACATTTCATTTTTAGACGTGCACAGATGTCTGACTTCAGTCATCATAATCATGAACCTTGCCATAGCATAGCTCTCAAAGATAAAACACAAGTATTAAAAACCCACATAAGTCCCACATACACTGGGCTCACTGAGCATGGGAGGAATGTTTATTGGGTCACATTGCTGCCATTTAGTGGAAACGAGCTTCAGGTTTTTGTCCGACCTTTTTAGGAGGAAAAAAAAATAATAATACGTGGAGACGCTTTTAATAATGCTGATTACTTTCCCTCTCTTCTGCTTAACGGGGAATGCTCTGTATCACAGCATCACCCTAATGACTAAAACATGGGAGTGCTCCAAATCTGGAGGCAGCTAATTTGAACAAGTAAATGTGGCGGCTGACTACTCGACCGCAGTCGAGCATTGGAATTAACAAGGAGATGCATGATGACTGGCAAGAGCAAAAATGTGAGTAACAGACAGAAAATTAAGGCATTCCGTCATTTCTAATGTTAAAACAAATTCCAATGTAATATTAGGATATAGGTATTGAGACGCTGGCGGTACGCTTGCCTTAGCATGTGCTCTTATCTAAATCAAATATCTCTAAGCTAATTAAGGTAGCAATTCTCTTTTTTTTCTAATCATTATTATTACAAACACGTGATGCTAACCCTACTATGAGAGATCAACCAACCTTTCCAAGACTAATAAAAAATGTCAGTCAATATTCATATACAACCTAGTTACATCTAAAACACGAAGCCAGCAGATGAACAACAAAACATCAAACAAAAGAAGAATTGTTAAATATGGAACTATGAATATATTTCAAGGCAGTTATACCATCACCGTATCAGGCATTTGGAATTAAATGGTCCCAGTTTGCTGTAAGCTTAATAAGCTTTTTTTGCTGTAAGCAGTACGATGGCATAAGTGTTACTAAGGCACATAGCTTATTGCAAATTACAAATTCCCCCCATTGTTATTACCATCATTAGTGGTAACAAAAGCAGCAGCAAGTGCTTAAATTTAGAGAAATCTTACATAAAATCCCAAGGGTGTTGAAAGCGGAAAAATAAAAGTCAAAGCGAAACCAATTTCAATAGACAGAGGTACCACAAAAACTAAAGCTCTATATTTCTGGAGCATGGAGGGCTCCTCTGTTGGACCGCACATTTTTCTATGTGGTGAATCATTCCAGTTTCCTGTGGATGCTGCGTCTTTACTCTGAGTGCTGTGATCATGAAGATTCATGGGCTCTGCTTGTATTGAGCTGTTTGGAAATGACAGATGCAGAAAGAGATTCAGAGGGATTTGAGGGAAACGCACGGTATCCACGTTACTGGCTTTGCCCGATCAATGAAAATCAAGCAGCAACAGTTAAGATACCTCCCTTTAGGACCGATCAAAGAACTTTAGTTACGTTAACTCTGCGCCATTAGAGTCAGATACTACCATGACTTCATCATGACTTATATAAAATACATTATTATTATTATTTTTATTGTTATCATTATTATGGGCTGACAGTCTAGCTAACGGTAAATTAGCTGCCCCTTAAACTACATAATTTGTTTTATTCAGGAGTTAATGTTCGCCTTCGACAATGCGCTGCTGGCTCGCACATAATTGTTCCAGCTGATTAAGGGCTTTTGCATACTTCATGCTCTGATGGTCTCTCAGAAACGGCTTCATTAGTAGTTTTGAAGGCTATTCTGCTGTAAAACCCAAATCAGATACCCTTAAAAAGTGTATAAAAATCTACAGGATGATATGACAACTGGCAGGGGCATGCAAACGTACACAGCCATGCTTACATTTGTGTTTACTTATCAATAAACAGGAGGGGGTTGAGAAGAATTCTTGTAGTGAGTGCAGGGCTTTCTGCAATCCTGGAAACTGAAGCATACAGATGATGTATGAACTGATAAACTGCAAAAACAAACTCAATTTAGAGCTAGAAGGAAGACTGGGCTGGAATTTACTTCATCAAAATGTACACCAAATCATTATTTCCTCTTTTTAAAC